CCCCAAACCTACGGAGGTTTTTGAAATGTATATATGTAAAAAAATACAAATAAAAATACAAACTGACCTGGCCAGGGATTGGGAAACAACACACACTACTGCCGTTGTAAAATCACTTCCACCACCTTTATCCAAGCAGGCACAATTTTTTCTGTTTGTGTCTTCCTCTGACTTCATAAAAGAATTGTGATAAACTGCATGCTGCTTACGAAGTTTACGCAACTTTAAAAATTACGTAGTGTAAAAAAAAACCTCTTGGTGAACCCAAGGTTCAGCGTTTTGTCCCGAAGCGCTGCCAGCCGAGTGTTGTCACAATGACCTGATGCCCCTCTAGCTAAATGTCTGCACACATACTATGTCTAAATAAAGAACACATGAAGCTGTGTGTTACTGCACTGGTTTTACTTCTGTGTCGTCTCTGTTCTCTTAAATGACTCATTTTGACTAAGGAACTAGTCAAACATGGTAGTTTTTTAAAATGACACAAATCTTACATGCATATGATATTTTTAGTGTGTTTTTTTTCTGGCCTTAGGTAGTTACAGTAAGTTAAAAATTTCAGACTGAGCTTTGTAACTTCCTCATCATGAAAGAAGCCTCATAATGAAACATTGATTTTCACATAAATTACCTCATTTTAGATCTTTACAGCAGCTCAAATCAAGAGTGATGTGTTCCTATTGTGTACCTGTGCAGAAGTTACGGTCTGACCTCAGAGGTTTTATATTCAACTTTAATACTTTTTTTTTCAAAGAAACTCAGCAACATTAGTGACTATGAATGATAAAATTATTTGAAGAACAATCCATTTTTTCTTAACATCTCTGTTGAGTATTTGGGGTCACAGGTCAGTGAGTAAAGCCCAGAAATCTCTTTCACCAGGGAAATTCATCAGCTCCTCTTGGTTGATTCTGATGACTTCTCAGATCAGAGAGGATATTTAAAATCATTTCAGCAGATAATGGGTGTCCTCTCAGAAGGATGTGCCCAAAACTCCTCCAAGGAGATGTTTGTATACATTCACAGTCATGCAGGACATGTCAATCRTTGCTGTTTGATTGAAAAAGCTCCTTGATTGAGGAGTGAACCACCTCAGCTGACTCATTTTGATGCTGAGGATCAGCGGCTCTGAACTCCTCACCCTCTCTCTGAGGCTGAGCCCATCTAGCCAACAGAAGGAGTTCATTTCAGCTACTTTTGTCCAGGATCTGTCTTTGGGTCACAATCATGACCACAGTTATTTAATTTAACTATTATATGTTCTTCAGATTAGATTTATCTTCTCGTGTCATCTGATTTATTCTTTTTTCTTTTTCTTTTAGTCTGAAGAGCGGAGAATTAGCCCTCAGGTTTCCCTCTATCTGCTTTCTCAAGTAAGCAACACACACACACACACACACACACACACACACACACACACACCCTACATGTAACCATCAACAGAAGTGCCATATTTGTGTTTCAAGTTTTGTTAGTCCGTATTTTTTTTCTTTTTGTCAATTAGGTTATTATCTTAGTACATATGTGTTTGATTAACGTTTATTTTAGTGTACCTGAATATTGATCAACTCTACAAATTTCATGTGACCACAAAATTTGTAGGATGTTTTCTTGAAAAGTTTTTCCCCTTTTTTTTAATAAATAAGGCAAATTATGTCAACAATCTGCTTGATCACGTGACTTAAGGATTCAAATGTACAAACATTATCAATTTTGCTTAAGTGGGAAAACATAGTTGTATATTTTCTTGTTGAACTTTATTTTTTGCATGCATTACAACATAAATGTAAATAAAATAAAACAGAAGATATAGAACAGAGTGACAGATGGCATCCAATGCTGCTTTTATAGTGTTAAATTGTTAAACTTTCCTTTTTATACATTGTCCATTTTCTCCATAGATCTTTACATTTTGGTTGTTGTGGTCTTATAATAGGATATGATTGATATAGGATAAAGTGCTATATAGGTTCAAGCCATTTACCATTTTCATGGTTTAATTGTTTTCATATTATGGATTTCTTCCACTGCATCAGTCCAGWTGTGTAGGGAAGGGGGATCCACTTTCTACCATTTCTGTGTGATGGTGTTCTTGGAAGCAGCCAAAATAATTTTAATCAAATAACGATCTTTACTTTGAATTCTGACTTCTGTTGAAGGTCCCAAATAATGACTATACATGTTTTTTAGATAATTTAKACCCAAAATTTCTGTTATCTGTTTACAAACGTCATCCCAAGAGCATGTCTGTATGTTACGTTGCCAAAAAACATGTATGTTTTACATCCTGTGCTCCACACAGTCTCCAGCAGGGTGACAAAACTTTTTTTATTCTTGATGTAATCAAAATATTGGTGAGTTCCTCCAGCAAAAGATGTTCCACATTTTGGAGCTTAGTTTGGATCGATGTAACTCTGTTTGTATTATGGAGCTTGTCCCTTTTTAAAAAGTGGATCTACCCTACACAATTCTAACTAGACAGAATAATGGTTTAGTTACTTTAAACCAAAAGGTACATTTGTATTGTATAGATTTGTATTAATAGTCTATATTAGACCACATGTAAAGAACAGTTGTAAGTTGGCAAAGATTTTGGCTAATAAGAGGTTAAAGTAATCTTCACAGATTTTATTTTTTGGATTTTCCTCTACTGTAGGTTTTCTCTACTGTGTGTTTTGGAACATGACTGTATTTATGTTTTCTATTGGATGTGTATGGRTTGTTAAAGAGGAGAAACACGAATTTTGTGTTTGTTTTGTTTTCCAGGTGTTTCTAATCATCCACTATCAGCCTCTGGTCCACGCCCTCGCTGATGTTATTCTCAATGGAGACCTTTCAGTCTTCTGCTCCCAGTCCGACATGCAAAGCTCACACAAAACCACGGTATAATTCATGCACACACATACACACCACATGAACATTTACATGCTTTTTTTTTTTTTCAAATTAACACATTGTAGTATGCAAACTAGGCACATGGTAATGTTTAACGAAGCCATAACAAACTTTTGACTCACAGATGTGCTCACTGATGTTAACTGTGACATAAAGCAACACGAAAAGTGAAGCAAACACACTTGTAGTAGACTGCTCATACAAAAAGTGCACACCCACACATGCAACCACATGGACACACACAAACACACAYGTAAACATATACACACATTGAGTTCCAGAAGTGTGTGTAGGTGGTTATGAGATGGCAAGGTCATTGGTTTTTTCCACGATTCACCCACATCAAGGCAAAAAAATAAAAAATAAAAGGCAAATTATCGAACATTGTTTCCATATTTCATCGTATTTCTTTGTGTCCATCTCCTGTTTTAAGGGTTTGGATAAAATGTCTTCATCTCCTTTTTGTTTTTATTTAWAAAAGGCTTTTAAGATTTGCTTTTATTTATGTTATGCTTCCTCTCTCCTATTTGTGTCTCCTCTACAGTCTCCCCGCTCTGTCCCCTTTCTGTCCCCATATTCTTCCCCTCACCTGCTATTTTTTTCTCTCCCTCCATTGTTTTTCTCTTCTTGATTCAGTTTCTTTTCCCTTTCTGCCCCTCCCACTAAACTTTTGGCCATCTGTTTGTACCGGCAGGTGGGTGTGCTGAGGTAGTGAGCGTTTCTGAGAACTTTTGTGTGTGTGTGTGTGTGTGTGTGTGTGTGTGTGTGTGTGTGTGTGTGT